CCCCCCCCAATAATTTGTGTACAGTACCTAAGTAGGTTGAATATTGCACCGACAGAGCAAGAACGAGACAAAAGCCTTTCATGGTGTGGGCACATTACAGCCACAACTAATGATTTACCGTTTTTCAGAATACCTTTTATTATTTTGTGTTGCTTAATGTGCACTTGTGCTGGATATAATGTTGTAGTGTTTGGGGGGGGTGGCCGGGGGGTCAGGTTGTACGAGCGCGGGTCTTTGCAGGGACTGATCCGATCGTTTCATTGAATGGCTGCCCATCTCGAACGAACTGTATCACTTTAACTCGAAGCAAAGCTCTCCTCTTCACAGAATTCCTCAAGCTCAGGGCGGGGTAGATCTTGGGTGGAGGGGGGGGGGGGTCTGTGTGTGTGCTCAAGCTTACACACCGTCAAAAGTGGCGTGGTCTGCACAAGAGGCGGAGACAACAAAAGCAGGATGTGATACAGCAGGACTCCACTTCCTCATAGATCTCCAATGAAAATCACCACAGTGTGTAGAGCGCCACCTCTTGACGAATGGGTGTCACAGTGGCAGCATGCTGGTAAAATTCCATTCCCACAGATAAGAAGCATACAAGTGCAGACAGACAGCAGTGAAATTATTTGATAAGATCCCAAGGAGCCTTGTGTGCGTTCTCTGGAATTCAAGACGTGAGGTTGAAGAAACAAAAGGCAGGGGGCCTGCGGTGTGTCGACTGCTGAAAGAGGATTTTTTCTTTTTTTCTTTCTTACATGTGCTCGCTGAAGGCCCAGCTGGACCCCACCCATCTCAATACACACACATAGAAGCAACACAGAGTTTGAGGTAGGGGACCCTCAGTCTGCAGAGCCCAATTAACAACAACCAAAAGAGCAAACAGACGACAACACAAAGACAAACTTGAGTATCCAACGTTGCACATTGCCGGATACACCGACAGAAAACTCCTTAAGCCAGCACACTTTTCTGCCCGGGGAAGAAAAGTTAAACATTAACGCTGCTAAAAGCCTCCTAAAAGCTTCGACTTCCATTTGGGGGTTTTAAAAGCTGCAGTTTGAAGACTTGAGAGCCAGAAGCTATTACACCAAGAGATACCATATCAGTTTCCCCTCAGGACCTCCACCGCTATTGGCCCCAGCTGCAGGAATCTTGAAGGCTGATTTTTAATATACGATTCAGAGGGTGATGTCATACCTCAGGTTACACAGTGCTCATTTATTTATTTGTATATTTTGTCTTTTAGAGTGAAATCTCTCTAAAGGGACTGTAGGAAAATGTTTAGGGCATGGGGAGGGGTCAGCAAAAGGGGTGGATTTTGTTTACTCAAGGGAGGGGAATAGAGCTGAAACAATAAGTTGATTAATTGAATTAGTCAATCCGATTCCAGCTTCCCAGTGTGAATACCTGGTGCTTTTCTTTGTCTTATATGTTATTGAATTAAATATCTTTTTTATTTTTTTGGACAAAACAGGACATTGGAAGACGTCATCTTATATCTTTTTATATCATTTGTAATCATTTTTATGATATTTTATTGACCAAATTATTAAACAGAATAACAGATTAATGAATACTGACATTAATTTGGCAGGGACAGTCTGGCATTTTTGGTAGAGCAGGAGAGGCTCTAGGGTCAGGTTTTTGTTCTCTGACCCAAGATTCATTTCATCATAATGAATATTCTGTTGAGAAAAGTAAGTCAACTGGAAGATTCAAAGAAAACTCACTGAGGAAGATCTAAAGTTTAAAAAAAGTGAAGCATAATCCCCCTATTTCAGTCCCCACCCCAATACTTTGCACACAGTCCCTAAATTGCACTCTGTAATTTCTTTGGATGATCCCCATTCAAATCATGTTAAATGAATATCTGTGTAACTTTTCAACCGCCCAGACTTTCGATATTTTCATCCACACACGTCACTCTCAACTGTGTGATTATGTCAAACGATCTCATTGGCTCTGAGGTCATAATAACAACTACCTGCAAACTAGTCTGTCCACTGTAGTGGTTTTCATGCACGGAAACATTTCTTGTCCGAACTCCACAACCATGAATTATCCTAAACACTCATTCATCTTCTTCCCCCCTAACATGTAATTGCACAACAGCTGAAGGGATCTTGCCTCATCTTGTTGTGAGATACCTTCCACTCTTGAATTCTTGCCTGGAGGCCGCCTGGTTGTCTGTATACCACGACTGCATGTTTCTGCACGCCAAATCCAATCATCCAACTCTATAGCTCTTGCAAAATCACAACCAGCCAGAAAAAAAGTAAAGTGTAGCCATTAATCCATGAACATTGTTGAAATGATCTCTTTATTGAATACTCTAATCCCTAGGATAGTGGGTTACGTGATCAACTCATCCTGTGCTTTGACACATTAATCCAGCTTTGTTGTTATTGTCAGAAAAGAGTTGTGAAAATAAACAGAAATCCAGCTTGGTTTCTGAATTGGGGATAACCTGAAAAGCCAAATGCAAACACCTAAATCTTTACGTAAAGTCACAAAATCACAGCACAACTGCGAGGCCCTGTTACTGTGACACAATACCAGACACAACACACAGCACACAAACTGTAGAAAAACAATCTAATAAAAAAGAGGTGTCATACACGTCAAACTGTGTGCACAAACTTATGGAAAAACCCTTCAAGATCTTCACCGAGCATCTAATTCTATGAGTGGACAGCACCATCTAGAGGTGAATTCAGGCAATTTCCTGTTTTGAAGACAGATCCAACATGGCTGCTCCCTTGTAGACGATTTTCTGTGTTACTGCTTGTAGCTGCAAACCATGAGGAAGTTCAGGTAAACCAACAGAACCACACAGAAAGGAATGTTTTAATATGTTGAGTGGTGCATACTGCTGTGTAGTTACAGATCTTTATTGCTACTTTTCCTAAAGATGAGGTAGTTACTTTCAATCTCTCTCTGCAGCCACCATGGATGCAAAGGAAATAGTCCACTGTGCTCTGCAGATAGAGAGATCCAACGCAGACAGAAGCTATGGGAACATCTTGACCCTCCTCGGTGACCTTGATAAGTCGCACATCACAGCAGAGCAGCTGGAAACGACGGACATTGTTAAAGTTCTCTACAGGCTCCTGAAAACCTGCCCCGATGGCAGCGTGAAGAAGACAGCAAAGGGCTTGTTGTCCAAGTGGAAGAGACAGTACAGCAAAGATAGACGAGATGTGAAATGCACAGAGGAGAGCGAGTGTCCTGAGCTCTCTTGCAGGGTTAAAGAGGCTGCGGGTGGAGGAGACTCCAAACAGGCTGGCTCAGCACAGACGTGTGACAGCAGGGTGGAGAGTGCAGAAGAAGAAGCATCATCCTCAGGGGCGAAAGATGGCCTCCAGACTCTGTCTTTAAGCGTAGGGAGCTCATCTGCATCCTGTAGTTTATCATCTGTAAGATCTAAATGCGTCCAGCTCCTCCTCGCTGCCCTCTGCCCCGAACTTCCTGACCAACACAATGCTGCGGAGCTAGCCGGAGACATCGAGCAGCACATCCATGAGCTCCACAAGTCCAGCCAGCTCAGATACAAAGCCTGTGTGAGGAGCAAGGTAGCCAACCTGAGGAATCCTAAAAACGAACATCTTCGTCAGGGCCTCCTCAGCGGTTTGCTGTCGCCTGAGGCCTTCGCTCGGATGTCTGCAGAGGAGATGGCGAGCACAGAGCTCCGGCAGCTGAGGGAGGAGTACTCGTCCCGCGGTGTGAGCGAAAGGCAGCTTCCTCAAGGGCTAGAGGGGACGCCGACACAGAAGATCCGCTGCAAAAAGTGTGGGGGGTCAGACTGTAGGGTGACGCAGGTGTCCAGGGGGGCCCTTTTCCTGCCCGCGTGGGTGAGGCGGGGCGGCCCTGACGAGGACGCGATGACTTTTGTGACCTGCAGCGGGTGTGGACAGCAGTGGTACCACAGTGGCTGGGTCTGCCTCTAAATCCAGATTAATGGTTTCATATTGCTTCCATACACATCTGAGCTTTCTACTCCTTACATTTTCAGTTAGCTTTGCACAGAAACAGCCGGTACACATGGCCTTCAGAGAAACCAACAGTCTACTTTTATACTTTATACTTTGAGTAAATTCATGTACTTTTTCACTTTTACTTGAGTAAATATGTTCAATCAGTATTTCTACTTTTAGTCTTTTATTTAACACAAGTATCTGCACTTCTACTTGAATAAAAAAGGTCTGTACTTTTGCAACCTCTGCTTCTAGCTGAAACAATTAGTCAACTATTAGTTAATCAATTAGTCGATCAGATGTTAATTAATCAGCAACACATTTTCATTTTTCAATTAGAAAATGACACATATTGGTTAAAAAGACAAAAACAACTTTAAGAGACTTTGGCAACAGTAAAAAAAAATGTCTTTCTTTAGTCATCTTGAGACCCTCATATTTTCTTTAAGAACCTCTAAACCCCCCATGTTAGGGACAAGGGTGTTAAACCAGTGACCTTCCCAATCAAATTGAGTCCATGTGTAAAAATAGGAAATGTTATTGGTGTTACATGTGCAATAGGACAGACGAAAGGGGCTACTGATGAAAATAATAGAAAGTATAATAAAACGTGGATGCACTGACCGCATCCAGTAAAGTGCATTGACAGGAGGAGGTGTGACACTGTGTGGCTCTGTCTGGTACCAAAGAGCAGCTCCAGCGGGGGCTCCTGACAGCAGCACCTTGCCGGGATGGATGAGGGGAGTTTAACTGCAGCAGCCAGACTGTGACCGCCACACCGACAGGTACAGTTACTGAGATTGAAAAACTGAAATTGAAGTGGTAAAATGGTCTATTGCCTATTATCGGACAGCTAGTTTATGATGGTCAGGATCTAATGTTAATGAATGTTCTTCTACATGGCCAAATAGTCACACACACAGTCCAGGTTCATACAGAGAAATAGTTTAGAGTCAAACAGCCTGATCATCCTGATAAATCCTCGGTTTCCTCTGGAGAGTTTCTCTGTCCTGTCAACGTTATAACTACGGTTCTTTTTTTTGCTGCAGTGACAGTACTGCACACATGAAAACTTTTACAATGACAGAAATTACTCCATCAAACGTTCAGCTCTGCTGTTGTTAATCATTGTGTGAAACCGCCCTCATTTTAGTGGTTTCCTGTCTTTACCTCAGTCAAAAGATTTCAAGATTCTGTGGATTCATAAACTTGTATAACCTTTCACAACAAGTTGGAAAGAGTTAAAATCATTGTGGTGGAGACGCTTCTTGAAAGGTGCCAAATCAAAACCAACAAAATAAGAGAAAATGCTTTCCTGCAGCAGTGAAACATGAGCAATGGTCAGGAAAGTGGGAGCAATGGTCAGGAAAGTGGAAACAAAGGACAGAGCATTTTTCCAGGATGGAGAGCATGCTTGTGGTTTAGACATTTTGAGGATATTTTGCATGCAGAGTTTAGCATTTTAAAGTGCATCCACCAGTAAATCCATAACTAAAAAAAAACACTGTGTCATTATCTAAAAGCTGAGTCACTGTCTATTGCAGCTGCAGACTGAAACCACAACTTTTCAAGAAGTAGCTCTCGTCATCTTCTTCCCGCTGAATCATTTCCCGTCTCCTGCAGATTATCTACTTACAGCAGCTCATTGAACTGCTTTTCATGGCTCCTCTTCCTCACATGAACCTTTTCTGGTTGGCAAAGAAATGTAAAACCACTACAGTCCTGACCTTTGCCCTCACTAATGAATCATTTGTGTGTTCTGTTGCACTTATTGTAAGTCATAGGAGCTATGAGTGATTAAATTCCTTAAAAAAAGAAGAAGAAAGCATGCCTCTAGCCACCTACAATATCCCATTCATTTAGCATCCTGGCTCCAGTGGATGAGACATGTGACCCTAGAAAACGGTGAGCATGTGAGTCAGTAATCTGCATGAGCGGCCGCAGGCGTGGATATCCCATGGTCCTTCACTCAGTCGACGTGGCACAATGACTCTATTACACGTCATTGTGACATCACATTGACGGTCTTTTACTGTACAGGCTAAAAAGATTCAGAGAAATGTTTAAATCAGTCACTTTTATAATCAATTTGTTTGTCTTCAATCAATATCTGTCCTTTTCTGTGATGCTGCTCTTTGATTTGTTGGCTTTTTTTACCCAGAATGCCAAAAAAAATTAATTCAAAGAATGAAGTCTTCTTTCTTTTATACACGCAGTAAATACTGTGTGCACGTTAGTCATACTGTGTGTGAGTTCTGCTTTTGTGTCACGTATACGTAGGTCCTTAATTTGACTGGATATCTCATTTTATAAATAAAACCTTTCAGTTTCTGAACTGAAACATGCCTTTCATTGGAAAACATGATGGGATTTCAGCTTTTATCTTCCCGAAAGTGATGATTTCCACACACTTACTGTGGATTTGTGCAATATATCATTTTCTTTTGCAAGCTTTCGGTGTGTCTGACCTTCATCAGAGCATACAAAATACAGAAATGTACAAGCAGGGGCAAATAATAAGTTCTATCATCATCATTGGAAGTGTGCAAAACACCTTTTATTGCATGGATCAAGCTTCACTTTCAGTTTGGACATATTGACGCCTTCAGCAACTAAAGCTGCTGAAAATGGACTTAATTTATCATTCTTTTTTAAATTAGTTTTCACTTAAGTGTTCCTCCTTGCTGAGATTTCCTGGTTCAATACAACTTTGCTGTTCTTAGCAGAAGGCTCAGTTGGTTGTAAAAGGACAGTTTGGGGCGGTCCAAAGGAAAAATCCCCTCCTGATGTGGAGCTGCTATATCTTGTCAGTGAGATACAGGAGGAGTGTGGCTGCTTGGTATCTCAGCACTGTTCTCTGTGCTGTGTCTCCTCTCAGACGCTCCCTATCTTATCCTACCTTCCAGTCATGGTGGCCTGTCAAATCAGTGCTCTGCAGTCGTCTCCTGTGCACACACACGCAGATACAAACAGACAAAACACGCTGCAGACAGAGGTAAGAAGCTGGAGTTGGTTTGTGCTCCTATGGTGAATTTTAAACAACCGTAAGAGGCAGACAGACCTGCAGAAATGCATCAGTTCTGCTCATCTTTGCTCATTCATGCAGTGTCGGTGCACAAAGGATATTGCAATACACAGCAGGTTACATTTCCGAGGTTGCAGCAGGCTGTCAGGTTCTTTAACCCAGTGGTTCCAACATTGTTGGCCTGTTGTATGACCCTTTAAAATACATTTGTGTCTACTGAATGGGTGTAGGCTAAGTAAATAAAAAAGGCAACAAAATGAGAAAAGTTAGGGGAAAATGTATAATAAAAAAATGTACATAATTTTGTATTACAGTTTTCTTTCTTATAACTCATCTTGTGACCTCTCATTCTTCTTTTAGAAACCTTTGTGTGTCCCAACCCACATGCGCTTTAACCCAGTGACCTTCCTAATCAAATTAAGTCCATGTATTTTCTATATCTAAAAACAGAAACATGTGCAGTTTAGATCAGACAGAGAGACTATGTTCCCTAAAAGATGGAAAGTATAATAAAAACGTGCACGCAGCGACCGCATCCAGCAAAGCGCATGACGGGAGGAGGCGTGACACTCTCGGGTCATATGAGCGTCATCAGCGGCTCCGAGGCCAGAGAGCAGCGGGGACTCCGGAGCGCCATGTCACCGGCTCACAGCAGCACCGAACCGGGATGGATGAGGGGAAAGTAACCGCAGCAGCCGGGCTGTGACCGCCACACCGACAGGTACGGTCACTGAGGTAGCAGATCTTACATTTCAGTAGCAAAAAATGCCACTTTGTGTCGTTTTTAATCGCTCAGTAAAGTCGCGAGTGTGTGCACCGTTAGCACGCCCATTATCGGACAGCTACAGTTTTAAGGTGGAGCTTCCATTATCGGACAAACCCCCAGCTGCTTTGCTTTTTCCCTTCAGAATATTGACAGCCACTAAATACAAGCAGAAATCAATATTCAGACATATATTGACGACAGAGTAGTTTAGTTTATAAATGCTAAACAGTTCATTTTACGAGTTAGTCTCTGCTCGCAAACTGAAGCCGGTCTGGCGAATCTCCTGTTTTTTTTTAAGAGTAACTTGAGTCACGCTTTGACTATTATGTTGCATCTTCCACCACCATGTCATGCTGTTGCCCACATCTGAACAGTTTAAACAAATGTGGTAAGAGGCACTCAAGTGTTGGGAAAGAAGAATAACAAAATCATTAACTGCTCCTTGGCTCGTGTCCGAAAATAGGCGTAATGGGGGTTTGATAGCCAGAAACCGCAAAAATGTGATGTTACACTGCAAACAACGCTGTAATTATCATTTTAAAGTGTAAATGTTGTTTGTATTTGTACCCGAATGTTTTCCAACTTAACAATGAACTGTAAAATGCTGTTTCCGACTGCTTTCTCTCCTCACAGCTGCTCTCCCGTGTTGTTGCTGCTTTAAATCCCATTTATTGATAGGAAGTACGTTACAGGCTCACTCTGCTGCTTCTGAATGAGCTAATTATTACCCTGCTGATTTAGCACATTGGCTCTTAATGTGAATTTGACACAAAAAAAACCATTAATGGAAATATTATATTTGTAGGTTTAAATAAAACCATGTGGTTGGTTGTTTGGAGGAAGTATTCATTACTTTATTGGAAATATCCCAGACAGCAGACTTCTCTTTAAATAGTAGCATTCTGCTGAATGGAGCACATGACTCCTGTGTGTGTGACTGTGTGTGTGTGTGAGACTGTGTGTGTGTGTGTGACTG